TGCCACGCCCTGGGAGCCTACAACGCATAAGGCCCCCACCCCCAGCGCACCCCCTGTGGCGTCGAGGAAATGCCACGCCTGCCACGCCCTGGGAGCCTACAGCGCATAGGGCCCCCACCCCCAGCGCACCCCCTGTGGCGTCGAGGAATGCCACGCCTGCCACGCCCTGGGGGCTACCAGCGCACCCCCTGTGGCGTCGAGGAAATGCCACGCCTGCCACGCCCAGGGAGCCTACAACGCATAGGGCCCCCACCCCCAGCGCACCCCCTGTGGCGTCGAGGAAATGCCACGCCTGCCACGCCCTGGGAGCCTACAACGCATAGGGCCCCCACCCCCAGCGCACCCCCTGTGGCGTCGAAGGAATGCCCTGTGTGCTATGCTGTGCTGTGCTGTGCTGTGCTGCTATTCGGTGAGCTGTGCTGTGTTGTGCCGTGCAGTGCTGTGCTGTGCTGTGCTGTGCTGAGTTGAGCTGAGCTGAGCTGTGTTCAGCTGTGCCGTGCTGAGCTGAGCAGAGCTGAGGTGTGCTGAGCAGTGCTGTGAGGAGGAGGGGAAGAGTGAGGTGTGTGAGAGAGAGAGAGAGAGAGAAAGAAAAAGAGAGAGAGAGAGAGAAAGAGAGACGGAGAGGGAGGTGTGGGTGTGTGAGTGTCGCGGGTGCGGCGCGGCAGGGAAGAACACCCAAACCCCACGAAGCAGGTGGGGAACACATTGTGGTGTGGTGTGGTGTGGTGTGGTGTGGTGTGGTATGGTATGGCGCGGGGTGGTGTGATGTGACGATGTAGTGCGAAAGAGAGGGAGGTGTGAACGCGGGTGTGACGCGGGTGTAGAGAAGGGGAGGTGGGTGAGAAACGCGGGTGTGACGCGGTTGTAGAGAAAATCATAACCCTCACTTAGACTGTGGGGAACAAGCCAAAACCCCACGAAACATGTGGGGAACAACACGGCTCACGCCTGAAACTTCCCGACGATTCTTGACGCTTCGCGTATCGCCACCAGTTGACGGGCGGGTGGCTGGGGCCAGGCCCTCAGGGTTCTCCAGGGGCTGGCCCCCTTTAGCGTGCTCGGGATGATGGACCCCGGGAGCCCCGCGGTCGCCTCGGAGTGGTTCAGCCTTCCGTCTCACGCTGCGCTTCATCCGGGCCCATTCCCAGCTGTTCAGGCAGGTCTACGCCGTCATCTAGGCTCTTGCTCAGCCCACTTGGCTGGTACACGCCGTTGGCACGGCCTTGGACGTGGCGCCCCGCTGGCGACTCGTCCATCGTTTACCTCGCCTTCGCGACCACCAAGCGTGAGAGGGGTGTGGGCTGCAAGTTCACGTGCGTTCTCGCCTTCACCGAGTGGTCCACGCCGCAGGGCGTACACCGAATTCCCTGGCATTTTGCTCAGGGCTGCACGATGCCTGAGCTTCCCTGGGTGCCCTCAGCCAGTCAGCCCTCGCCCTGCTGCCCCAGCGGCCGCCTTGTGAGCTGGCCCGGCCGGCCCGTCCCGCGCCCTGCAGCTAATTAGGTCTGTTTCTGTGCCCCGGACAGCTTCTGTCGCCGCCTGCGCTCTTCGCTCGCGGCCGCGACCGAAAACGTATCCCCGCCAGCTAGTCTAATGTGTGACGAGGTTGCCCCTCTTCACTCGTTGCGCTGACACGATGCAGTTGTGTCGCCTACGGCACGGACGTCGTCCTGGTGTGCCTGTCGGTCCTGCTCGTCTCGGACGGTGCATTGTGCCGACTCACACCGGGTGATTGACCTCTGCGTGTTTATGGTCGCGCCGCCGCGCCATTTTGTCTGCGTTTATTTGCTGGTCGCCACCGGGATCTCCTCGCCACCGGGTTGGGAGTTTCGCTGTTGGCTCTTATTATGAGTGGCTGCCCGCGCGCTCGCTTCGCTTGCCTCTCTTTTCTTGCTGCCTAGTCGCGGCCCGACTAGTGTTCGGGCGGCTTTCGACCTGCTTCGCGAGCCCGCATACCAAACAGTATCCCCACCAGCCCATCCAGAAAACCTCAGCAGGGGAGTCGGTGAATCAGGGGCGGCAGGACGCATGCAGTTGTGCAGCCGCCTTCGGGAAAAAACAAGGATCACAAAGAGCTTCCCGCATTGAAATCTAAGATGGAAATCCGTGCAAGCTACGATGGTGCTTGGATGAGGGGTGAGGGGCGTTTTTCGATGACCCGTAATGGCTGCTGCACCGATTTGTATCTTAAGCTCGCGTGCGTTTCGAAACTTAGAGCCATCTGGGGGCTCTCTTGGGGTACTCGTGGAGCCCTCTTGGGGCCTTCCTGGAGTTTTTGTTTTTGGGGCTTTCTTGAGCTCCTCTTAGGGCCTTCTAGGAGCCCTCTTGGGGCTCATATGGGGCGTCTTGGGGCCCTCTTGGGGCTCTTGTGGGGGGTCTGGGGGCCTTTTTGGGGCTCTTTCGGGATGCCCGGGGGGCCTTTTGGGGCCGTCTTGGACCCTCTCGCTAAAAAGATGGGGGGATCTAGTTCCCATCGCCCCCTCGGAGGCTCAAGAATGCAGTCTGGGGGCCCTCTTGGGCCGCTCTTGGAGCGCTCTTGGGGCTGTCTTGGGGCCCTCTTGTGCCCCTCGTGGGGCTATCTTGGGCCGTTTTGGGGCCATCGAGAAGCCTCAAGAACCCATCGGAGGCGACAAAACGAGAAGGCAAATCACACTGATTCTCCTAAGGTTTCTGAAGGATTTGGGCCTCTTGGGGGGTCCTCGGAGGCCTCGGCCAGCACTTGAAACCGTCTTGGGGCCGTCTTGAGGCCTCTTGGACGTGTGTCGGAGGCTATCTTGACCCATCTACCGCTATCTTGGGCCATCTTGGAGGCCATCTTGCGCTCTCTGAGGCCCTCTCGGAACCATCTTAGGCCATCTTGGACGCTGCTATGGGTCGGGCCCTCCCGTCCAAACGCATGGAAGGGGGGATGTAAACCTCCAGAGCAGGGAAAGGAAGGAGGTTGGAAAAGGAAACGCCCTAGACCACCTGCGCCCAGAGTGCTGGTGGGATTTTGCCAGGACTCCCGCTCCCGCCTGAGACTTCTTCGCATTTTACTCTGGAGTCGCGCTCTCGCTTGGGACTTCCTTGCGCTTTTTTAAGGGATCACCCTCTCGGCGTGTGGAGTCGCGCTCTCGCTGGAGACTTGAAAGAATCGTGTTCTTGCGTTGGAATTCCCCGCAATTTGCTCAAACGCCGCGCCCCCGACACTCAGGCACCCAGGAATCGCGCTCACATTTAGGACTCCTTCGCAGCTTACTGAGGAATCGGGGTCTCGCTGCCCTTCGTGGCCCCGTTGCAGCCCTTCGTGGCCCCTTCGCTGTCCTTCGTGGCCGCCTCGCTGCCCTTCGTGGCCCCCGCGCTGCCCTTCGTGGCCCCGTTGCAGCCCTTCGTTTCCCCCTCGCTGCCCTTCGTGGCCCCCTCGCTGACCTTCGTGGCCGTGGCCCCGCTGTCGTCCTTCGTGGCCCCGTTCTTGCCCTTCGTGGCCCCGCTGTCGCTCTCGTTCTTGCTCTCGCTCTCGCTTTCGCTCGTCGTCGTCGTCGTCGCCGCCGTCGTCGTTGTCGTCGCCGTCGTCGCCGTGGCCGTCGTCGTCGTGATCGGTCCCCTGTCCGTCCCTCCTGGGGTCAGGCTGCCGCCGATCAGCGTTGCCGCTGGCCAGGCTGACGGTCCGCGGCCGCCCCGCCGCTTGCCGGAGCCCGACCTGCAGGGATGCAACACATACCCCAAAAGGGGTACGATCGAAAACGAAGAGGGCGGGTAACGAGGGTTTGGGAAATACGCGTTGACGGACACTCGAGCAGATCAGAGCGAGCAGTCTTACACTGACTGTTGTTGTTGTGGTTGTTGTTGATGCTCATGTTGATGTTGATGTTGGTGCTGTTGTTGTTGTCGTTGTTGTTGTTGTTGCTGTTGTTGTTGTTGTCGCCGTTGTTGCTGTTGCTGTTGTTGTTGATGTTGTTGTTGTTGTTTTTGTTTTTGTTGTTGTTATTGTTGTAGTTGTTTGTTTGTTTGTTTGTTTGTTTGTTTGTAGTTATTGTTGTTGTTATTGCTGTTGTTGCTGTTGTTGTAGAGTTCTCACTTATACAGAGGAAGTATTGTTATTCCCCCCTCTCCGGTAACTATTGTATTTTCCAATTGAAGTGTTTCTCCTGGGGCTCGCACTCGGTTTTTTACAAGGGAAAGCAAGGGGCCACCAAACTGCGATGTCGGCCCCCTAACTACAACAGCAACGGCTTCCGCCTGATACTTCCTCATACTTTATTATAAAGCGCTCTCGCGCGGGACGTCCTTACAATTTTACAGGAATCGCGCTCTCGCGCGGTACTTCCTCGCCATTTTTTTCAGACGCCGTGCTTTCGACACTCAGGAGTCACGCTTTCGCTATTTGGGAATCGCGCTATCGCTCGAGACTTCCTCGCGGTTCATGTAGGACGCACGCTTCAGAAACCCGCCAGCTCGACCTGGCCGCGTGGGCCCGCCTTCCGACCCGCCCGTCAGGGTCTACCCAGTCGATGTGCCCATCTGGTTCTGCTACGTGCTTTCTGCTCCTAGCCCCCCTTCCTGTACTGTACTGTACTCGATGGAAGCGGCCGTCTGAGCCAGCCGCCCCAACCAACGCAAACTCACACAGTAGCTCGTGACCATTGAGCTCCTAGCCCCCCTCCTGCTATCCTCTCTCGTGCTCCATCCTCCTCCCGCCCCCTTGTGCCTTCCTTCCATCCGTCCTCTCTTTCTCTGCCTGAGGGTCTTCGCGACACAAGCTTTGCAGGTCAGATAGATGTATACCCCCCAGGGGGGTACGATCGAAGACGAAGAGGGCGTGTACCGAGGGTTTGGGGTATACGTGTTGAACTGTCCGCGAGCAGATAAGAGCGAACAGTCTTAAACTTGTCATTGTTGTTGTTGTTGTTGTGGTTGTTGTTGTTGCTGCGGCTGCTGCTATTTTGGTTTCTGATGGTGATGCTTATGTCGATGCTGTTGTTGCTGATGATGGTGAGGAGGAGGAAGAGGAGGAGCCGCAGGCGCTCAGTCGCCGCACGGTGGAGCTCGAGGCCATCAGCACGGAGCTGGCCGAGGCCTTGAGGCGGGCCCTTTTCTATCCCGAGTGCCCCGGGCACTGCGCTCACTGAAGTCCATGCGCTTCATGAGTACGGCAGGTTCGCGCCGCGCCGACGCGGCGGCCAGCCCAGCGTGGGCCTTCAAAGGTGAGGGCAGGCCGCCAGTGGCCCAGCGTTGGCCGACATTGAGCGACCTGTGCTACTCACCGGGCGACATGATCGCTCAAGGTTGAACGATTTTCGTGGTGTCAGGACCAACGCCAAGGTCATCGCGACGATGATCTGCCGTAGCTTGGCTGGCTTGGCTCTCATCGGGTTGTGGAAGGAACAGAGCGTGAGCCTGCTAATGAACAAGCTGCATCGTTGCGAGCTCGTCGTCCAGCTTGATTGTCTTGACTGGATCGGGGGATCGGGTATCGTTGGGATGGGTTGGGGGGGCGTTGTCACGGCTGGATTCGCTTCAACATCCTTGCTAGAAGGCGTTCCCTGAAAGGTCCATGGGGTCGACTTTGAGGGGGGAGGAGGATGGGGAGGGGGAGGATGACGAGGGAGGATGGTTTTGGCATGTTTCGCAAGGTTTCGGGAGGTCTCTGTGGATTTCTGAAGGCTTCCGTTTCGAGGTCTCCAGGGGTTCCCTTACGACGGGGAGTGGGGTTTCGTAGAGGAATGGGTTGATGGAGGGAGCGGACGAAAGGGGAAGGTTGGGAAATGGGGAGATAGAGACATAACGGATTAGTATATATATGTGTATATATACATACATGGTTACATTCTAAATTCCGAAACAAATCCATACAGACATATACAATTATGTATGCATTAGCTTGTGTATATGACCATGTACATTTAGGTACACAAACGCATACTATGTCTATGTGTATGGTTGCGTTGCTGTAAAGGTAAGTGCTTACGTGGTTGTATATGTATGAGTGCAGGTTTGCGTACATGTATAGTCGTACGCATATGCATTTGCATCTGTTTATACGCGTATGTCTACGTATTGGCATTTGTGTATGGTGTGTCTGCAGGTGTATGTTTATGTGCATCTGAATGAATGTACACTACGTGAATCTATACGTATTTGTATACGTATACGTATACGTCAATGTAGAGGCACACACATATGTATGTATGTATGTATGCATGCATGCATGCATGCATGCATGCATGCATGCATGTATGTATGTATGTATGTGTGTATGTATGGGAGCGCGTACACGCACGTATGCGTATGTATGCATGCATGAATGCATGTATGTATGCATGTATGTGTGTATGCGTGCATGCATGTATGTACGTATACGTGCATGCATGCATGTTTGCATGTATGCATCCCTGTATGTTTGCGTGCAGGTACGCATCTACGCTTGTATGTCTGTATGTATGTACGCATGTAGGCATGCCTGGATGCATGACTGTTTGTGTATGTGTGCATGCACGTGCGTATGCATGCATGCGTGTCTGTGTGTATGTGTATATGCGTGTGTGTATGTATGTATGTGTGTATGCATGTGTGTGTGTGTATGTATGCACGTCCATGTGTATGCATGCGTGTGTTCATATATGTAGGCATGCATGCGTGACCATTGATTTGTGTACATGCATGCATGTACGCACGTATGTATGTGCTGATGTATGTATGCATGCATGCGTGCATGCATGTCTGTCTGTCTGCCTGTCTGTCTGGCTGTCTGTATGTATGTACGTACGTACGTATGTATGTGTGTATGTATGTATGCGTGTACTTATGTATGAACCCATATCTAGGCACATATGTAAGTCTACATTTTCGAGTATTTATGTATACTATGAAGGAGCGCTTTCTGCTTTTGCTGGCAGCAGGTGGGCTGGGTTCCACCCCCCTCCTCTCCAAAACCAGGGGGGGAAGTGGGGATTATGGACCCCCCCAGAAAAGTAGTCGCGGGGAGACCAGATGCCCCCGCTCCCAGAATTCCTTTTATGGTGTCCAGAACCTCCCCCCCCTTGCAACGACGACGACGTCGCCGCCGCCTGCAAACGACATGGACGACTTGGACGACTTGGGCGACTTTGACGACCTGGACGACGTGGACGACGTGGACGACTTGGACGACGACGACGCCGACGACGACGACGACGGCGACGACGACGACGATGGACGATGGACGACGGACGACAGACGACGGACGACGGACGACGGACGCCGCCGCCGCCGCCGACGACCACGACGACGAGGGACGGACGGACGGACGGACGGAGGACGGACGACGAACGATGGACGACGACGATGACGACGACGCCGACGACGCCGACGACGCTGACGACGACGACAACGACGATGACGACGAAGATGATGACGACGACGACGACGACTAAAGTCGAGCCTTAGCGGGAAAAGCTGGATCGAGCCGATGAAGGATCATACTTGAGCTGGATCCAACCCTACTGGTAGAATTTTATCAGAGCTGGATCGAGCCCAAATCGGATTCTATTGAAGCTAGACAGCTGGACGGCGTTCTATCAGAGCCGGCGCCTGGCGTGGGCGCCGGCGACAGGTGCGCCACCACCGTCGCTGACTCTGCCGCTGTCGTTGGCGTCGTCGTAAGCGTCGTTGTCGTCGTCGTCATCATCGTTCGCGATGTTCGTTGGCAGCGACGTCGTCGTTGCCGTTGTCGTCGTTGCCGTTGTCGTCGTCGTTGTTGCGAGGAGTGGGGGTGGTTCTGGACCCTTCAAACAATTTCAAGGGGTGGGTGGGTGCCCTCCGGTTCTGTGCGTGCGTGTGTGTGTGTGTTTCTACGTTGGGTGGTGGGAAATTCGAGGGGGGCTCTGGTTTCGGACCTCCTCGCCTTCGGGTTTTTCCCGTCCATCCTGTGTTGAATTTGGTCCTCGTTTTGAAAGGGACAACGTCCGGCGTCCTCCTTTTTTCTTCTACCTCACCTTTCTCCTCCTCCTCCTCTTCCTCTTCCTCCTCCTCCTCCAATCCATGCCTCTGCCCTCCCATCACCGTCATCATCATCATCGTCGTTATCATCATCCACACGTTTCGCGGCCCGATTTCCTTTAATTTCGGGCGACGACGATGACGACGACGACGACGACGACGACGATGACGACGACGACGACGACGACTCGACCATGATCCACGCAAGACGACGACACTAGGATGCGTCTTCCACACGCCGACAGGGTCGGCGGATTTTGGCACACCCCTCACACGTGTCGAGGGTCCTAGGGAGGTCCACCTAAAGCCCCACTGGCTGCGCCCGCATGCCGCTATCCCATGTTCATGTTGACAAGCCCTGAGCATTCTTCGTGGTCCCATAGTGGGCTCCACCGAAGGCCCCAATTGCTGCGTTCGCATGCGGTCACCCATTCATGTTGGCACACCCCTCAACCGTTTCGTGGCCCCATACCATAGTCGGCTCCACCGAAGGCCCCATTCGCTGCCGCCCCCCCTCACTTTGGCACACCCCTCACTTTGGCACACCCCTCACTTTGGCACACCCCTCACTTTGGCACACCCCTCATAAGTTCCGTGACCCCATAGTGGGCTCCACCGAAGGCCCTGGTGGCTGCGCTCGCATGCCGCCACCTCCACAACACTTTGGCACACCCATCACACGGTTCGGGGCCCCATAGGGAGCTACACCTGAGGGATGATGATGCTGCTAATGCTGATGAGGACGGTGGTGGTGGTAATGTTGACGGCGATGATGGCGTGATGATGGTACTGATTGTGAATGTGATGGTGGTGGTGATGCTGATGCGGGCGTTGATGATGCCGATGGTGGTGAAGTTGATGTTGATGTTGATGCTGATGTTGATGTTGGCTCTGATACTGATGACGACGATGCTTTTTTTTGTGATGACGGCGGAGATGATTCTGCTGATGGTGATGGTGGAGGCGATGACGGCATTGATGATGTTGATGATGATGATGGTGATGATGATGATGATGATGCTTATGATGCTTATGATGGTGATGCTCATGATTGTGATTATGACGCTGCTGCTGATGATGATCATCATCGTTGTGGTGATGATGATGCTGATGATGCGGATGATGAGGGTGCTTCTGCTGCTGCTGATGATGGTGATGATGGTGGTGGTAAGGATGATGTTGTTGCTGCTGCTGCTGATGATGATGATGACAATGATGATGAGGATGATGCATTGGTTGCTGGTTTTTGCGTTGATGATGCTGCTGATGATGATGGTAATTGTGATGATGATGATGATGATGATGATGATGATGATGATGATGATGATGATGATGATGATGATGATGATGAAGATGATGATGATGATGATGATGATGATGTGGGGTGGTGGTGGTGGTGGTGATGATGGTGATGATGATGATGCTGATGATGATGATGATGATGATGATGATGATGTGGGGTGGTGGTGGTGGTGATGATGACGGTGATGATGATGATGATGCTGATGATGATGATGATGACGATGATGCTGATGATGATGATGATGATGATGATGATTCTGATGCTGCTGATGATGATGATGATGATCATGGCTGATGATGATGATGCTGATGCTGATGGTGATGATGCTGTTGGTGGTGCTGCTGATGATGATGATTGTCGAGCCGAGGCGACTCGAGCGAAGTTTTGAGTCAACCTCTCCTTCCTCACTCTCTCTCTTGCCGCCGCCTCCGCGGCTGTATGGGATCGAGGAGGGGGCCCCCTCTTTTGTGCAGAGAGCGCGGCAGACACGCTCGCCGGCACGGGCCGGCGCCAGATGCTCGACGGACGAGCGCAGCACATCACATCGTGCAGAATATATCGTCGACGGTAATCACGACATTGGTACTGCGGAGCTAGATCCACGGACGAGTTCTGGCACTCCTGAAGGGACCAGAACACCATGCAGGGGGACGACAAGAAGTCCAAGGATGCCATTCCCGAATGGGACGGCAACCCAGGGCGTTGGCGTCACTTCGAGACGGCTGTGAAGTGGTTCCCTCGCACGCTCAAGCGACAAGAGAGGGACCTGGCGGCGAACCGGATCATTGGACGCATGCTGCAGAGTAAGACGATCGCCATCAGGACGTTTGCGACCACTCTGGATCCGGACCGATATGAGAATCCGAATGGCCACCTCCTCCTCCTAGACGACCTGAGGAGCAGCCCGCTTGGGAAGCTTCCGATTCCGGACGCAGCCCACAAGATCAAGCATTACTACAAGGATTTCAAGCGGCGCAAGGGCGAGACGGTGGGCGCGCTCCTGATCAGAGAGCAGGACTGCTACTCAGAGATGGTCCAGGCGCTGGAGCGCCTCCTGGAGGAGATGGGCGACAACGACAAGTACAAGCAGTGCCAGGAGTGCTACGGCTACTTCGAGAGAGACCGTGGCGCAGCTGGACGCGGACAATGGTACTGCCAGAGGTGCTGGGACCACTGGGAGCCCAGCCCCGACGCGTCGGCGCCCTCAGCAGCAGATGATGCCCCCGCTGAGGAAGCAGAAGAAGCAGATGAGTACGAACGACAGTCGATCACGTCTCGTTCGCAGGGCTCTCGAACGGAACGTTTTCACCGACAAGAATCCATGGCTAGCAAGCTCAAGGTTTCGGAAGCGATGGCAGTGGGCTCTACGTTTTTCGGCCACGCTTCTGGAGTTCTGAAGGTCCTCCGCGGATTCTTCCTGCTCGAGGCAATGGACTTCACCGAGAAAGAGAAGCAGGACGTCCGCGTGGTCACGCAGAATCGTTTGGATTTCGATGCAGTCTCCAAGGCTTTGAAGGAGAGATGGGAGGACAAGGCGCTGGTGCAGCGAGACTTCGGACCGAGGGCTATGCCTCGGTACGGCCCGGAGTCAGGCCCTCAGTCGGCCCTCGTTGCAGAGTTTGATGACGTACACGGACCAGACTGGTACGACGGCTACGCAGCGGCAGTTCAGGCGTGGGAGAACGACGGTTACGACCACCACGAGAACGAGGACGACTACGACGTCGTGGAGGAGCCGCAGCTCGCCTCAGAGCCAGAGGAGTCCGAGGCCATGGATGAGGATCTCAACCATCTCAACGAGGAGCTCGAGGCGGCCCAGGCGATGGCAGCAGAGGCTTCACGTACTCTGGTTCAAGCCAGGCAAGCAGTGGCCGCCGCTCACAAAGATCGAGGATTTGGCAAGCCATCAGCGAGTCCAGGAGGGAAGAGTCGCCTTCCCCCGTCGTGGCCACACCAGCAGCCCTCGAGACCGCCGTTCAGTGGTCGAGGCCCGAAGGGCAGCAAGGGCGGCAAGAGCGGCAAGGGCAGCAGGTACCGCGACAGAGACCACGACCAGAAGGGCAAGAATGCGAACTACCTGGAGTTCCACACGATCACGCACGGGTTTGACGAGCTCCAGGGTCTGTACCAGGCGGAGCTGAACGACAGCGGCCTCGCCCCCTCTGAGGCCATGGTTGATTGCGGGGCTTCCGCGTCCGCCGGAGGCGAGCGCGCAGTCCAGGCCCTGGTGGCCGCCGTTGCGGCTGCGAACCCACAGGCCAGGATCGAGATCAACAAAAATGAAAGACCGCGGTTTCGTTTCGGAGACAATAAGTGGGGCAGGGCACTGTATAAGGTTTCGGTCGAGTTCGAGCCGGGCTTCGTTCTGGGTATTTTCGCTCTCAGTCCTGGCGTGCCTCTCGTTCTGTTGGGAATGACCGCTCTGGAGTCGTGGCCGGCAATCGTGAATTTCCGAACCGGGGAGGCTGTGATCAGGGGTCAACTGGTGCAGCTTCGCAAGACTACAGGCAAGGGCCATTGCATCCTCGACCTGGTGAAGCACGTTTCCGAGATTTTAAACCCGACCGCGGAAAACACCGAGGGTCTTGCAAGGGCGTTTCAGAGATGGTCTATGACAAAGACCACATCACCACCATCAACATCATCTCAGACAAGAACGACATCACCAGCATCATCTCAGACAAGAACGACATGATCAGCATCATCTCGGACAAGAACGACTTTATCAGCACCATCTCAAACAAGAACGACATCACCAGCATCATCTCAGACAAGAACGACATTATCAGCATCATCTCGGACAAGAACGACTTTATCAGCACCATCTCAAACAAGAACGACATTATCAGCATCATCTCAGATGAGAACGACACCATCATCAGTATATACGGCCCTGACGACAACACCATCATTGATAACAGCAACATCACCTCCATCAACCATAACAGGAAGAGCAGCTCCATCATGGTCATCCCATCCTCCGCCGTCTTTTGGCTCTGGAACTCGCTCAGAGCGGATTTCGGCAATCCGCAAGCCGGCGCTTCAGTCAGACATGGAGGGCAAGGACGAATGGGTACCTGTCGACATAGATGCCGACAAGAAGGAGGAGGGCCCGGAGGTAAAGTCACCTTCGGCGGCAGCGAGCTCCGGACCTACGACCCAGGTCAAGCGGGAGTTCGTCTTCAACGGCCAGAAGATGGAGCATGTCACCTCGGAGGGCAAGGTCAAGGAGAGAGATCCGGGCAACGCGCACCAGGGTCGCAAGAAGGAGAAGCAGATGGAGCTGGACCCGGCGTTCGCACTGCAGGTGGACCCGAGGACCACACGGGGACCGTGCGGGCAGACGCATCGCAAGTACTTCACGGTCAACAACCAGTGGGGCCAGACCAGGACGTGCTATCGGTGCGGGCTGAGGTTGCTCTACGTTCCGACGGCGAAGGCACCGATGACGAACCTCAGCATGCAGCATCCGAAGTTGGTGGAGTCCGGCCTGGAGCTGGTGCGGCACTGCAACCTGTGGGAGACGGCTAATCACGAGCAGGTGACCGCGATGATCAACATCGCCACCTCACTTCGGAGGCTCCCCGGGACCGAGATCCGACACGCGCCGGACGCGCTGCTGGAGATGCTGGGGGCAGCGAATCCCAGGCGCAAGGTCCAGATGGCCGAGCCAGTACCCGGGCCAGTCTGAGCCGGGTGCCGAGACAGCTTCTGGCGGCCGGACGCCGCAGGACACTACTCGCAGGACTGGCTTTGGCCATGACCGTGGGTACGATCACCGAGGCAGTGGAGATCTGCTGCCATCCCAATAGCATGCTGACCGACGAGTGCACCAACATCGGCCTCAGCATGGAGCGGATCAGCATCGAGAACGGCTACAACCTCAGCACGAAGGCGGGGTTCGAGGCCGCTAGCAAGAAGCTGGACGAGGTGATGCCGAAGAGGGCTTGGATATCGCTACCATGCACACTATGGACTTCGCTTACGAACTTCAATTACAAGACACCAGAGGCACGTGTACGCCTCGAGAAAGACCGACTTCGAGACCGACGACGTGTGAAGTATGGAGTTCTCCTGTTGCTAAAGATTGTTGACAACGGAGGCGATGTCTACTTCGAGTGGCCTCACAGGTGTCAAGGCTGGAAGATTCCCGAGCTCAACTTTCTACGCGCGGAGTTGAGGCGTCGGGGACGACACGTCTTCGAGGATCGGATCGACGGGTGCGTGTACGGCCTCAGGGACTACAACACTAACGAGCTCGTCGAGAAGGGCTGGAGGATCATGACCACCGACCCGGAGTTCTCCAAGGTCGCGACCGTGTGTGACCACTCACACGGCCACCGAGTCATCAGCGGGAAGCTACACACTGCAGCCACAGCCTACTACCCGCAGGCGATGTGCAAGGCAATTGCCCGGCTATGGCATGCTCAACTCCGGGCCCCGATCGACCTCAACATGGCCCTGGAGAACCCTGCTGTCCTCGACCTCGAGAATGCCTACCTGATGGAGCGGGACACCGGGAGCATCTACGTCGCTGAGCCCACGGATCCCGAAAGGGAACAGGTGCGGGCGATGTTGAGCAGGATCCACAAGGCTGCAGGGCACCCAGGGAACGAGCACTTGGCTTACTGGTGCAAGAAGCGACAGTGTCCACGCTGGATCATCGAAGAAGCGATCAACCTACGCTGCGAGGCATGCGACCTGGTCAAGCACGGCCTTACCCACAAGGTCAAGGCGAGCCTCGACATCCCCATGGCACCTTGGCAGGCAGCCGTCATGGACGTTTCCGACCTGACGTTCCCGGACTTGAATGTGAAGGCCAGGTTTCTTCTCATCGCAGAGGTCGCCACCGGCCTGATGTGTGGAGACATCACTGCGAAGATCGGCCTCAAAGACAAGGGCACGGATTCGTCAGCTACGCTGTTCACGACGTTTGCCAGAGCCTACCTTCAACACTATCCCAAGCCAAGGTGGGTTTTCGTCGATCCTCAGCCATCTTTTGTGGGCGGCGAGTTTAAGGACAACTGCCAGTTGGCCGGCATCGGCGTCTCAGCGAAACCAGGAGGAGCACATTGGATGGCTGGTGACATCGAGCGCCGCATCTCGACCGTCAAGCAGGTAATGAGGAAGCTTCGCCTACAATGCCCGAAGCTGAGTCCCGAGACCGTGTTTTACATCTCGATTGCGGCGGCCAACAACATGGACAACATCAAGGGCTACACGCCGATGTAGTGGGCTTTCGGGTTCTCTCCCACCGAGGACCCAATCTTGGCACATAACGCAGCTACTGGCAAGTTGAAGTTCGACTTCTTCGAGATCGAGCGGGTACGAGCGGATGCAGAGGCGACTTACCTGAAGGAGAAGGCGTCCAGGAAGATCTCAGAGCTGAAGAACTCAGCCCCACGACCTCGACATGAATATAAACGAGGCGACTGGGTCTGTGTCTGGCGGTCATACGCTGCGACAGGGGAGCGAAAGCTTTCCGGGCAGGATTTCTTCACGGACGGCCTCTTCATCGGACCGGGCAGAGTTCTGTTCTCCGAGCCGGCGGTCCAGACAGGCAACAAGGACGGCGTGATCTGGGTCATCATGGGCAACCGATGCTGGCGCTGCGCAGCTGAGCAACTGCGGCCAGCCACGCAGTCGGAGATCGTCCAGATCAACCTGAAGAAGGACGACATCCTCAACAGCCCGCTCGAGGACGTCTGGAGGCACCTCCAGGACTTTGACGACATCGCCGGGAAGCCCTCCCAAACGGCAGATGGCATGAGGATGCTACCACGTCAACCTCTTGAGGGCATGCCGAGGGTGATCGAGAATCCCGATGTGGCCGTGGAACCCCACGACGTCACGGAGGCAGATGACGACCTGGAGGTCGACGAGGACAACTCAGCACCAGAACCACCACAGATTAAGCGAACAAGATTGAGAGGCAAGCAACCGACTGTGTCGTGGCCACCTGTACCGACTGAAGCTTTCCAACCGCGTTTTGGGAGATCATCCTCATCAAGAGCCTCAGCTGAAGTTGCTCACGCTGCCCTCTTCAAGGCGGCGAGCGACCATGTGGAAGCCAGCGAGACCGACATCATCAACTTCGTGCAATTTCCGAATAACGAGGCCGAGATGGACCTGATGAAGATTGAGATCGAGACGGACCTTGAGGAGTTCTGCTTCGATGCGAGCGCGTACCTGGAGAAGCAGCTGAACCGAGTGGCCAACAACACGGTCAAGAAGGGTGTGGAGGTTTCGTTTGGCCGCCTGAGCCCCGAGGAGAAGCCACTGTTTCAAGAGGCAATGGCACGGGAGCTGGCGGAACATCTAGAAGTACCGACCGTCCGGGCTGCATCGGCTTACGCTGACTACAATCATGGAAAAGACATTCCAGCGGACAAGCTGATCAAGATGAGGTGGCTACTGACCTGGAAGCCTTTGACACCACCTGAACCACCGGACAAGTCGGACCCACACCCCGTGAGCACGCCGGACGGGAAGTTCAAGGCGAAGGCCCGTATCATTCTGTTGGGCTTCTCACATCCAGACCTTGTCAGTCGCGACAAGTTTGGAGATCGGGTGCTTCCCACGGCGTCACCAACCATTTCAAGAAAAGGGAAGCTGGCACTCCTCCAGATGGCTGCTTTCCACGGCTGGACCTTCGAGCTAGCCGACGCGAGGTCCGCCTCCCTGCAGGCCGGGCACACCGAGGAGTGGAGGAAGCTCTACACGAAGGGCGTGAAGGAGCTCCGGCAGGCCTTGCAGATCAACGAGGAGGAGTCCATGCGAGTCCTGGCAGCGATCTACGGGATCACGAATGCGCCGTGGGTTTTCTGGAAGTATGTGGACCACAAGATCCACGAAGCAGGAGGCAAGAGCGTCCTCATCGAGCCATGCATCTGGATCATTCAGGACCAGGACGGCACCGTGTGCGGGGTCATCGGCTCGCACGTGGGCGACTTTGGCATCGCAGGCGACAGCGACAACAAGTTCTACCTCGACATGAAGAACATGCTGAAGGAGATGCTGCGGTGGTCTCCCTGGCGAAGCACGCCGTGCATGTGGGCAGGCACGTGGATCACTCAGGAGCCGTCGGGCAAGATCCATGCCAGCCAGGAGGAGTTCTGTCACCAGCTCCTCGAGATCAGGGTTGAGTCCGGCAAGTATCTCTCGAAGGATGACAAGCTCAAGCCGGAGGACGTCACCCAGTTCAGGGCAGGCCTGATGAAATGTCAATGGAGAGCGACACAGACAGCACCACAGTTCTCATGTCGGGTGTCACTGTTGGCTCAACGGGTGAACGAGGCGACGTTCGGGGACCTGAAGGACACGAACGCCCTCATACGCGATGTGAAGCGGACCGCTCGTGACTCACTGGTGTCCCACAACTTCAATGGCAACTGTGGCGGCAAGCTGAAGTGGGACGACCTAGTGATCGTGACGTGGGTCGACGCAAGCAGACTACTACAACGAGGAGGCTACATCGTGGCGTTCACCACGGCCGAGATTCTCAAGCAGAAGGAATGTGCAGTATCGATCGCCGACTGGAGATCGTACAAGCTCAAGCGCACCGGCATCGGCACCAACGGCTGCGAGGGCCAGGCTCTGTACGACGGCGAGAACGCCGCGTACCTGATGCGCATGCTGTGGTCAGTCATGCACGGAGTTCCAGTCACCGCGCACACTCAGGAGGAGGTGGCGCAGTCCATGACTTCGGTGCTGGTGATCGACAGCCGAGGAGTTTATGATTCAGTTCACAACAAGGAGAGCTTCGGCATAGGCCTGAGCGACGCGAGGACCGGCGTGGAGGTTTTGCATGTGAAGGCGAACTGCGGGCCCGAGAAGAACCAGCACCTGGTTTGGGTACCCTCGGACCTCAACCTCACCGACGGCCTCACGAAGGACAGCCCCGAGGCAAGGAAGCCTTTGGCTCTGTGGCTTGCACGGCGTACCTGGATCATCAGGTACGATGAGGATTTCACGTCAGCCAGGAAACGACAGCGAGCCAACAAACTCGCTCAGGACAAGCCGCAGGCGCCTACGGATGCTGAAGCCGAGGCCGCCGACGCTTTAGCTTTTCTCGACCTATCTTGAGGATAGGGTCGGGCTCTTTCTCATCATTCCTTTTCATATTTGTACTGTGCAGGGCCCCTCTTTTGATCCAGTTCGGTCGGAACGGTTGAGAAGGATTTTATGCTCATGTCGAGCCGAGGCGACTCGAGCGAAGTTTTGAGTCAACCTCTCCTTCCTCACTCTCTCTCTTGCCGCCGCCTCCGCGGCTGTATGGGATCGAGGAGGGGGCCCCCTCTTTTGTGCAGAGAGCGCGGCAGACACGCTCGCCGGCACGGGCCGGCGCCAGATGCTCGACGGACGAGCGCAGCACATCACATCGTGCAGAATATATCGTCGACGGTAATCACGACAGTGATGATGATGATGATGATGATGATGATGATTCTCATTTTCATGGTGATGATGCCGATGCTGATGCTGATGCTGATGCTGCTGATGATGCTGCTGCTGATGATGATGATGAGGAGGAGGAGGAGGAACACCAGGTGCATCGAGGAGGACGATCCAGAGTGAGCGTCTAGGACGAAAAGGACTGGGCACGGACAAGGATGTCGGACCGGTCATGATCGGGATGAGGGCGCGGCCAACGAGTCAGCAGGTCCGCTTTCCCCTCCCCCCTCACGCCGCAGGCGCGAGCGCAACGCCCGCGCCCGCGAGTCGGATGAGAGGCGCGGGCAGCTGGTGCCGCTGAGGCCCCCGGCGCCGACGGCGTCGGCGGCGACGGCGGCGGCGGGCGCCGACGGCGACGGCGACGGCGACCACGACTGTCACGACGACGCCTGCGACGACGCCCATGGGGAGGTGGGGCACGGGGAGGTGGAGTGACGAGGGGGACGGGGCAGGGGGAGGACGGAAGGTGGGGGAAGGATGAGGGTGAGGAGGAGGGGGAGTGAAGAGGAGGAGGTGGGGCAGGATGACTAGGAGGAGGAGGAGAAGGAGGAGGAGGAGGAGGAGGACCACGAGGGTCGCGAGATGGGGTGGTATTGTGAGTGTGTGTGTGTGTGTGAGTGTGTGTGTGTGTGTGTGTGCGTGTTTCGTCTGCGTGAGGACTCTCGGACTGGTCTAGTCAGTCGTGGCCTCAACAGACTCTCTGGCCCGACGCCGCGCACGCGCCTGCCGAGCATGTATTTATGTATGTATGTATGTATGCATGCATGCATGCATGCATGCATGCATGCATGTATGTATGTATGTATGTATGTATGTATGTATGTATGCATGCATGCATGCATGCATGTATGTATGTATGTGTATGTATATAAATATATGTGTGTAAGTATATACATAGCTATATGTGTATATATGTGTATACGTATTCACGCACACACACATATATACATATATATATATATATATATATGAGTAGGCCGGGGGGGCAAAACTGGTGCCGCCATCCCCCATGGGCCCCCCCCCAAGCCTTTGGGGGGTCACAGACCCCCCGGGACTGCCCCGGGCCGCTTCCACATTGCCCACGGCATGCCACGCGGGCCGTACAGATGGTCACGAAAGCCTGAAGAGGCCCCGAAGACGCCCAAGAGCGCCCCAAGAGGGCCTTCAAGAGGCAACAATCTGCCCATTTCCCTCGTAAAACGTGCGTTTTCGGCATACTCGCTGGCTTCGTCTTCACAGTGCCCCAGACGCCCCCGCGGCACCCCAACACAGCCCAAGAGAGACCCAAGAGGGCCCCAGACGGCCCCAAAGGGTCGGCTTGTGGGGCTCACGGAACCCCCCAAGATGACCCAAGAGGCCCCGAAGCCAGCGCCTCCAAGACGGCCTCAGGGATGCCCAAGAGGGCCCCGTTCGAAATCATGTTCCCGGAAGCCTCTCCGGGAACATGATTCCTGGGTTCCCAGGGCCCCCTACTGAGCCGCAGGACAGCCTCAGCGAGGCCCAGGAGGGCCCGAGATGGCTTGAAGATGGCCGAAGAGGGCCCCAAGAGAGCCTTCAAGAGGCAAACATCGGTCCATTTCTTTTGTAAAACGTGCATTTTCGCATACTTGCTGGCTTCGTCTTCACAGTGCCCCAGACGCCCCCGCGGAGCCCCAACACAGCCCAAGAGAGACCCAAGAGGGCCCCAGACGGCCCCAAAGGGTCGGCCTGTGGGGCTCACATAACCCCCCAAGACGGCCCAAGAGGCCCTGAAGCCGGCCCAGGAGGCCCCCAAGACGGCCTCAGTGAGGCCCAAGAGGGCCCCGTTCGAAATCATGTTCCTGGAAGCTTCTCCGGGAAAATGACTTCCGTGCTCCCAGGGCCCCCTAGTGAGCCGCAGGACAGCCTCAGCGAGGCCCAGGAGGGCCCGAGATGGCTTGAAGATGGCCGAAGAGGGCCCCAAGAGGGCCTTCAAGAGGCAAACATCGGTCCATTTCTTTCGTAAAATGTGCATTTTCGGCATACTCGCTGGCTTCGTCTTCACAATGCCCCAGACGCTCCCGCGGAGCCCCAAGACGGCCCAAGAGACATCCAAGAGGGCCCACGACGGCCCCAAAGGGCCGGCCTGTGGGGCTCACGGAACCCCCCAAGACGGCCCAAGAGGCCCCGAAGCCGGCCCAGGAGGCCCCCAAGACGGCCTCAGGGAGGCCCAAGAGGGCCCCGTTCGAAATCATGTTCTTGGAAGCCTCTCCGGGAAAATGACTTCCGGGCTCCCATGGCCCCTTCGACCCCTAGAGGGCCCCAGGACAGCCTCAGCGAGGCCCAGGAGGGCCCGAGATGGTTTGAAGATGGCCGAAGAGGGCCCCAAGAGGGCCTTCAAGAGGCAAAAATCAGCCCGTCCCCGTAATAAAACGTACATATTCAGCTTACTCCCTTGCTTCGTCTTCGCAGTGCCCCAGACGCTCCCGCGGAGCCCCAAGACAGCCCAAGAGAGATCCAAGAGGGCCCAAGAGAGATCCAAAAGGGTCGTCCTGTGGGGCTCGCGGAACCCCCTGCCCAGGAGGCCCCGAAGACGGCTTCAGGGAGGCCCAAGAGGGCCTCGTTCGAAATCATGCTCCCGGAAGCCTCTCCGGGAACATGATTCCTGGGTTCCCAGGACGCCCAAAGACAGCCCCCAGAGGCCCCGGACACGCCGAAGATGGCCTCAGGACGGCCGACGACGCCGCCAAAACGCCCCAGTAGCGCCTCCAGAGGCCCCTCCAAAGGGCCCCAGAAGCCGAAAATCATAAATGTTCCAATGGTTTTTGAAGCCTTCTTGCGCTCTCCCATGTTCCGCCTCCCCACGGTCCCGGACCGCGTCAGAGGCCCTTCAGATCGCTCTCTTATCGGCTATACAGCTGCCCGACGGCTCGGTCACCACGGACCCGCAGCGCGCTGCCCCCGCCTTGGTCCGGCACTGGGCCGAGCACTTCCGGGCCAAAGGCGTCGGCAGGTTGGAGGAGATCGAGCAGTGGTTCGCGGCGATGCCGAGCTTTGCGGGTTTGCGGAGGTGATGCCCGAGTGCGAGGTTTCGGCGGCTCACGTGCGGCAGGCGCTGAAGGCAGCTGGTGCCACGGCTCCTGGCCCAGATGGCATCCCGTACAGCTTCTGGCGGGGCATCGGGGAGTTGGGCGTGGAAGTGCTCACGGACACCATGACGGCGATGATGGCTGAAGGGTCAGATAAGACGATGATGCGCGAGTTCGGCTCGGGGGATAACCACTTCGTGCCCTGCGACTTCAACGGGAGCTTGCTAGCGCTGCTGCCGAAAAAGCCCACGGGGCACGACACTGCTGCAGGCGCCTTCTTCTGTCCAGCTGACACGCGGCCACTCATGCTCGTGGACACCTCGAACCGCCTGCTGGCCAGTGCTCTGCGGAACGCCATTGAGCCAGCGATTGAGCAGCTTGTTGGAACGAGTAAGCGGGGCTTCCTTCGCGGCCGCTCCATTTTGGCCAACGTCATTGGAGGACGCGGCCATGCATGCCGCGGCCTTGGCGGACGACCAGCAGTATGCAATACTCTTCGACATGCGGGCGGCGTTCCCCAGCACAGAGCACGGCTACCTCCATCATGTGCTGGAGAAGTTGGGTTTGCCGCAGGGCGTCCGCGCTGCTATCCGTGCGCTGCATGCAGGGCAGCGCTGCTGCTTGGCGATGGCGGGGCAATGGTGGGAGGGCTTCGTTCACGGCGGGCATTCGGCAGGGATGCCCTCTCAGTCCCTTGCTCTTTGTGTTCGTGACGGAGCCGTTCAACCGCCAGTTGGACGCCGTCGAAGGCCGCCGCGAGCGCTGCGCATTCGCCGATGACCTCGCTCTTGTGGGTGCCGGCGGGCACGGGGCGTGGCCGCAGCTGCGCCGCCTCTTCGCGTTCTTCGCCGCGGCGTCTGGGCTGCACCTGAATCTCGCGAGGACTTTGATGTTGCCCTTTTGGACGTGGCAGCCTGGCGCCGCGGCAGACTCCTGGCGGCAGGCGGTGCCCGACTGGGGCACGGTGAGGATCGCCCACTCCGGCACGTACCTGGGGTTCGAGGTCGGCCCGGCGGCGGCGGAGAGTGGATGGGACGCCCCCCTGCGGATGTACGAGAAGGCGGTTTGCAATTGGGCTGCTCGCACCCACGGGATGCACGTGGCGACATTAGCGTACAACGTCTTCGCGATATCGAAGCTGCAGTATGTGGCGCAGTTGCATGGGGCGCCTCCCGACCGGTCACGTTTGGAACAGTGGGCGATTCAATCTCTCTTCCCTGGCCCGTGCAAGTGCCTGCCCCCTGGCGTGGCCCAGCAGTTGCGGGATGAGTTCAAGATGCCATGCCAGCAGGTATCGCTCACCATCGCCAGCCCCGCGGCCCAACTTCGGGTTGCTCTCGCTGGGGGGGACTACCGGCGCTGCCTCCGGCTGGATGAGCTGCGGGGCCGCCTCGAGAGAGCTCGCTCCCGCGCCGCGGCCTCGTCCTGGGACATCGAATGGAGATGGAACGCGTGGTTCACGCCTGGCCCTGTCCAGAAACTCCAGTCCGCGATGACAAGCTTGGCCCGCCAGGGCATCACGGAGTCCAGCGTCGTGGAGCAGGGGGCGGGGCGCGGACCGCGGCCAATCACCCTGGCGACCTGGCGGCCTGCTCGCCGGCGGCTCCAGTCATCGGCGGCGACGCTCTTGCGGCGGAGGTATTGGCTTCGAGTGGGCTTCGCCCAGCGGAGCGCCAAAGTCGGGAGATGGCGCGACCCGGGCTCCCTGCCGGGCCGTCGGGCCCAGCGGTGCCGACTGGTCATGCAGCGGCTGCCGAAGCGCACGGCGCCGCGAGTTCGAGCGGCCGTACTGCGCACCTGGCTCAACGGCTGGTGCACAGGGCGCGGCTGTGGGGCCCGCGGAGGGCGTTGCCTCTTCGGCTGCTCCGGCGGTGATGATGACGTCCGGCGCTACGTTCGTTGCCGGCATCTTTGGCGCTTCGGGGTGGAGAAGCTGGGTTTGGCGGACCCAGGGCACCCGGAGGCCCGCGCCACGCGGGCGCTGCTGTGGCACGCTGGAGCCCCTCCTCAGGAAGTGGCTCGCGTGGCAACGATGGTCGCCGTCGGCCACAATGCCCACGCCGTTGTCAGCCACGCGGCGAGGGCCAACCTCGACATCCAGCGGGGTGTTCGCCGAGGTCCTCCGGCAACTGCAAGAGCAGCCGCCCGCGGCTGGCGAGGCGCTGACGGCGGCGGACGGGCGCGGGGCGGGGGGCGTGACTGAGTGATGGGAGGTCGGTGTGCCGCATGAATTTGCGGGCCGTAATTCGTGACATTTTCGTGGTGTGTTGCCGCCCTCGCAGGCCGTCTCTTGAATTCTGGGTGTGCCGGCCTATCCTCGTTTTGAGGCCCGTCCCCAGCGTCAGTAGCCTGAATTTCGGCCACGTTCGCAGGACTACCTGCGGGGGCCTTATTGGGTCGTCGTCACGTTTGGCGTCGCCCGGGAGCGTGCGGCACGGCCGTGCACGTTCGCCAATCACTGCCCTTATTTCCGCCCCTTTTTCCTTTTTGTTTTACACATTTGTCCGCGCCGCGGCGCGACCGCCCCGCCCTTCGTAGGGCCGTCCCTCGTGAGGTGAGGGCGCAGTGTCAGTGTCAGTGTCAGTGTCCTCCCTCCCTCCCTCCTCTCCCTCCTCCGTGGGTGCTCGTGCTTTTTGCTTGTTTTGGCTCAGGCAGGCCCGACCGCCTGCCAGGCGGCCGCGGCGCCCGTCGAGGGCGGCCCTCTTTCCTTCCCTCCTCTTCCTCCTCCTCCTCCCCTCCCTCTCCCTCCCTCCGCGCGTGGGGGGTGCGCCCGACCAAACCGTATGTATGCACCAGGGAAGACCCACGCATCAGCAGCCGTATCGGCCACGCGGCCGGGACAGGTGAGGTTCCCACAGCTTGCGTGGAACGCAGCTTCAACCAACGGGCATGCTTGTATGTTTGTGTTTGCTCCCAGTGTGTTGCATTGGCTGTGCCCCGTGTTCCGCGGAAGGCGGGATTCAAATGTCACGGAGTCGGTGCGTCACGGCCTCGGCGCACCGTCCGATCTTGCTGCTGCCGCGCGCCTGCGCCAGGGTGGGCGGACGGGCGGGCGCGGCTGGAGCGTCGGACCGCCGTCAAGTAGCAGTGACGCTCGTCGAGGGCGGCCCCTCTCCCCTCTGCCTCCTCCTCCTCCCCCTCCCTGCCTCCGATCGGGGTCATGCGTCAATTAGCTCAGGCCTGCTGGACGATGCGAGATTTGGCAGGGTCCTCCGTCCGCTGGCCGCCCAGCGTGCACGATCGCTGCGGACTTTGGGCCACGCTGGTAGGGGCGGTCAGGCAGCACGGGCAGTTGCAGGCGAATTGGCCTCCCCCACCCTCGTCTCTTTCCTCCCGCTCTCGCCTCCCGGAGGCGGTGCGCTGGCTTGCCCTGCTGGGGTGGCTCTCCGCCTCCTCTTCCGGTCTCCTCCTCGCTCCTCCCCGAATGGACCACCGGTCAGGCGGAATCAGCTGGCGGCTTGATTTGTTCTCCCCCGCGGCCCCCGGGCCCCGCGCGTTCGCTTTGCGCGCGCGTCGCCCTCCTCCCCCCTTTCTTCCGTCCTCCTCCTCTTCCTCCTCCTCCTCCTCCTCCTCCTCCTCCTCCTCCTTCCTCGCTTGCCGCCCGGGTCAGTTGATGCCGATGGTGCCGCCCGGGGTGAATTCTTCACGCTTCGCGTATCCCCACCAGCCCATCTCAAAACAGCAACTCTTGCGAAGCATGCCGACAGTCGTGTTTTTCAGGCGTGTTTCCGCCTGCCCCCGCATATCTCCCCTGTTCCTCCTTCCTCCCGCCTCCTTGTACATCCTCCTTGTGGTGGGAGCGGGAGAAGGACGAGGCGGAGGAGGAGGGAGAGAAATCGCTCCTCGTGGTTTGAGTCGTTTGGGGTTTCTCGTCCTGGTGTGAGTCGTTCGGGCCCTTTTTCCTGGTGTGAATCGTTCGGGCTCTTCGTGGTGTGAGTCGTTCGGGCTCTTCGTCCTGGTGTGAGTCGTTCGGGCTTCTCGTGGTGTGAGTTGTTCGGGCCCCTCGTCCTGGTGTGAGTCGTTCGGGCCCCTCCTCCTGGTGTGACTCGTTCGGGCTCCTCGTGGTGTGAGTCGTTCGGGGCCTCGTCTGGTGTGAGTCGTTCGGGCTCCTCGTTCGGGGTGTGAGTCGTTCGGGCGCCTCGTCTCGTAGTAGTAGTAGTAGTAGTAGTAGTAGTAGTAGTGGTGTAGTCGTAGTCGTAGTAGTCGTAGTAGTCGTAGTAGTAGTAGTAGTAGTAGTAGTAGTAGTAGTAGTAGTAGTAGTAGTAGTAGTAGTAGTAGTAGTAGTAGTAGTAGTAGTAGTAGTAGTAGTAGTAGTAGTAGTAGTAGTAGTAGTAGTAGTAGTAGTAGTAGTAGTAGTAGTAGTAGTAGTAGTAGTAGTAGTAGTAGTAGTAGTAGTAGTAGTAGTAGTAGTAGTAGTAGTAGTAGTAGTAGTAGTAGTAGTAGTAGTAGTAGAGTAGGAGTAGTAGTAGTAGTAGTAGGAGTAGGAGTAGTAGTAGTAGTAGTAGTAGTAGTAGTAGTTAGTAGTAGTAGTAGTAGTAGTAGTAGTAGTAGTAGTAGTAGTAGTAGTAGTAGTAGTAGTAGTAGTGTCATTTGGGAGCCTCTTGGAGGCCTTTTGGGGCGTCTTGGGGGCCTCTTGGCGGCCCCAGGGGCTTCTAGGAGCGTCTTGGGTGCCTTGGGGGAGCCTCTTCGGGCCTCTTGGGAGCCTCTTGGAGGCCGTTTGGGGCGTCTTGGGGGCCTCTTGGCGGCCCCAGGGGCTTCCAGGAGCGTCTTGGGTGCCTCGGGGGAGCCTCTTGGGGCCTCTTGGGGGCCTCTTGGGGGCATCTTGGGGGCCTCTTGGAGGCCTCTTGGGGCCTCTTGGGGCTCTTTGGGAGGGGTCTGGGAGGTATCTTGAGGCCATCTTTCGGGCGATCGATCACAGCTGGGGCGAGCATTTTTGTCAGTACCCCCGTCGGGGCCAGAATCCGTGTGAGGGGTGTCGAATTTTAGCCCTCCCAGGAGTCGAAAAAGGACCCTCTGACCACCCGCGAAACCCCCTCTCCAGGTCCAGGGGGAGGGGGTAAGGGGAGGGGTAAACCCGTCCCCGAAGGGGAAGAAGGGGGGTTGAGAACAGAGGGAGCTCGCTAAACCACTCACGCCCAAAGGGCTGGTGGGATTAGTAGTGGTAGCAGTAGTAGTAGCAGTAGTAGTAGCAGTAGTAGCAGTAGTCGCAGTAGTAGTAGTAGTAGTAGTAGTAGTAGTAGTAGTAGTAGTCGTAGTAGTAGTAGTAGTAGTAGTAGTAGTAGTAGTAGGAGTAGTAGTAGTAGTAGTAGTAGTAGTAGTAGTAGTAGGAGCAGTAGTAGTAGTAGTAGTAGCAGTAGTAGTAGTAGTAGTAGTAGTAGTAGTAGTTGTAGTGATAGTAGTAGTAGTAGTAGTAGTAGTAGTAGTAGTAGTAGTAGTAGTAGTAGTAGTAGTAGTAGTAGTAGTAGTAGTAGTAGTAGTAGTAGTAGTAGTAGTAGTAGTAGTAGTAGTAGTAGTAGTAGTAGTAGTAGTAGTAGTAGTAGTAGTAGTAGTAGTAGTGGTATTACCAGTATCAGCGGTAGTAGCAAACGTAGTCGTCAACGTCGTCGTCGCAGTAGTTGTCTCAGTAGCAGTGGCAGTCACTAGAGCAGTGGTCTATATGGAAGTCGTAGTAGTAGTAGTAGTAGTAGTAGTAGTAGTAGTAGTAGTAGTAGTCGTAGTAGTCGTAGTAGTAGTAGTAGTAGTAGTAGTAGTAGTAGTAGTAGGAGCAGCAGTAGTAGTAGTAGTAGTAGTAGTACTGGTAGTAGTTGTGGCCGTATCACCATGAGTAGAAGTAGTAGTACTAGATTTAGAAGAAGAAGTAGTAGTAGTAGTAGTAGTAGTAGTAGTAGTAGTAGTAGTAGTAGTAGTAGTAGTAGAGTAGTAGTAATAGTAGTAGTAGTAGTATAAGTAGTAGTAGTAGTAGTAGTAGTAGTAGTAGTAGTAGTAGTAGTAGTAGTAGTAGTAGTAGTAGTAGTAGTAGTAGTAGTAGTAGTAGTAGTAGTAGTAGTAGTAGTAGTAGTAGTAGTAGTAGTAGTAGTAGTAGTAGTAGTAGTAGTAGTAGTAGTAGTAGTAGTAGTAGTAGTAGTAGTAGTAGTAGTAGTAGTAGTAGTAGTAGTAGTAGTAGTAGTAGTAGTAGTAGTAGTAGTAGTAGTAGTAGATGTCTTTGGGGAGCCTCTTGGAGGCCTTTTGGGGCGTCTTCGGAGCCTCTTGCCGGCCCCAGGGGCTTCTAGGAGCGTCTTGGGTGCCTTGGGGGAGCCTCTTCGGGCCTCTTGGGAGCCTCTTGGAGGCCGTTTGGGGCGTCTTGGGGGCCTCTTGGCGGCTCCAGGGGCTTCCAGGAGCGTCTTGGGCGCCTCGGGGGAGCCTCTTGGGGCCTCTTGGGGGCCTCTTGGGGGCATCTTGGGGGCCTCTTGGAGGCCTCTTGGGGCCTCTTGGGGCTCTTTGGGAGGGGTCTGGGAGGAGTCTTGGGGCCATCTGTCGGGCGATCGATCACAGATGGGGCGAGCACTTTTCTCCCTCCCCCTGTCGGGGCCAGAATCCGTGTGAGGGGTGTCGAATTTTAGCCTTCCCAGGAATCGAAAAAGACCCCTCCAACCACCCGCGGAACGCCCTCTCCAGGCCCAGGGGGAGGGGGTAGGGGGAGGGGTAAACCCCTCCCCGAAAGGGAAGAAGGGGGGTTGAGAACAGAGCGGGCTCGCTAAACCACTCACGCCCAAAGGGCTGGTGGGATTCGTGCATGGGAGGTCTTCGGCCTCGCCCTCTGCCCACTGGCCGGGCCTCATCAGGTCCGCCCGGCCGCTGGGGTTACTCGGAGCCTCCACTGGTCCGCTCCAAGCCTCGGTCGGGCAGACGGGTCCCACATATTTTGGATATATAAGCTGCCGGTTCGCTTGCCTTGATTTTGCCCTGGCGGTGGGGCCGCCTCGGCTTGAGATGAATCCTTCAATCTTGGGCGAGCTTTTAAGTTTACGCGGTCATTCACGGAGCGTGGGCTCAGATTTACGAGTATGCTGTGCTGCCAGTTTCGTGAAACTCTGGGTGCGTGCAAGGGCTCACCTATGGTCTATTGCAGGTTGGCTTG